CCGCTCCCTGTAACAGACCCATTAGGAGTCTCTTGCGAATGTCCAGGCATGAGATATGGAGGTGGCTTGAGCAGAGGTGGGGCAAAATATAATCAGATCCATGATGCACTTGGCGATAGGGCCAATAGCATTTGCATCTATATTAGATGAATTAAAACCTCTCTATTTAGATGATTTCTGTATCCTTAAAATTCTGTGTCTGTGAAATATGTTTTTACATGAAATAATTATAACCTAGTATATAGTATAACTATATACTGCTTCTATGAAATTTACATTCTGTGCAAAGGGCTCTGTATTCAATGCACTTTGCTGGAGTAGCCCATGAACATTTTATTCTTCTTGCCATTTATTAAGTATTGACTGTGCCAATGAGGTAGAGCAGGGACATGGGACAAGCATCATATTTTTCCTGTCTATGATGAAAAATGCCAAGAAATAAATAGTATAGTAAGAACAGGAGGGACTCCATCTTAAGGCTAAGATTCCATTTTAAAAACCAGGGAGTTAGGAGGTGAGATTCCTAACATATTTTATAATTAGCCAACAGCTGACCCTATTGCAAGGCAGGGCAAGCATTAAGTTCTAAATGGTTTGTTTCCACTGCTTGGAGGCAACCATTATCTTGGAGAAGAACAGTTTTGATAAATTCCTTGTGTTAAGTTTATCTTAGAGAATATCTAGAGGACTGTGGATGATGACACAGTGTCTCTCACTGGAGATAGACATCAGAGACCACATGTCAAACCTACATCCTGTGGCCCTTGGCCCCATTCTAGAAATCCTTAAAAGACAGAATCCTAAGCCTTTTAATGTGCCTCCTAAGGTTGCCCGCACTCCCCTTTCTTCAAGAGTATACTTTGCCTTAAACAAAGCCTTCTCACTACTCAACTTTTTGCATTTTGCCTCTGTGCTCTTTTAGTGGTAAGGGTCTTTGTTATTTCAGTATTTCATTCAATTTTCTAGACCAAAGCACAAGTCTTCACTCTCTCTGTCCTATGTCAGGCAAGTAGGGAAGGGCAACTGAGATCTCTGCTTTGGGCTTGCAAGTTCCCATCGCCTGGGTGACCCAGACAGGCCTGCAGCTGTACAATCACGCTCTTTAGCAGCCTGCCTGAAAATCCCCTTTCTTTGCCTTTAGGAAGTACTGAGAACATAATCTCTCTCCATCCAGTACTCCACAGCTCCCCCAAATCCTGGGATATTTTGGGGGCTTAGTTCCCATGCCATGGAGATTCAAGTGGATACTGGACGCCAGGTAACCCTGGCTTTAGGAGTTGGCAAGGGATCTGCCCTGTGCTGAGCAGGAGTTCAACGCGCTTTCCTTTCCTTCTGTGCTCTTCCGTGCTCTCTGCCGTCTTCATGGCTGCTGCTGAGACACGGACCGTGGGTGTAGTCAGAGTAGGGTGAGGGCCTCTGGAAAAAGACCCCTACCAAAACTCCGTATTGAATAATTAAGCAAACTCAGAGCCACATTAATTCTCTAAAGTGAAATATCAAACTAGGAATATAAGCTTTCTTCACTGAGATTAGTTGAAACTAAAAAGCCAGGAGTAACTTGGCCTGGAGTGTTTGAACATCCCCCAGATAAGAAAATACCTCAGCATAGCCCATGTCTTCATTGTGTCAATTAAATGAGGCTATTGTAAAATTTACTTTAGCCTGCCAAGAGGCCCAGTTTAGTTTATCTGGTTTAACTTTGCCCAGATGCTGCTGCTGCTCCTCCAGGCCTCATCAAGTAATGTATAACCTGGGCAATTAATAGAGCATACAGGCCCAGCCTTAAACAACGTAGTAGAAGGCAGAAAGGATTCCACCTTATAGATAAGATTGCATTTTAACACCCAGGACGTTAAGAAGTAAGATTGTTAACTTACTCTTTAGCAAACAGACAGTACCCCAGCCCAGCCTGGGAGCAGGACAGTCAGTCTTGATTAATGTGCTCCCAAACCAAGAGGCTGCTATTCTGGGAAAGAATCAGAGCAGTGAATCTCTTGTGTTAACTCTGCAAAATAATCCAGAAGGACTGATAAGAAACGTAGTGTCTCTTCAAAGATAAACATTTGGGGACCACTTAGCAGGTCTGCATCCCTAGCCCTTTGGCTCTCAACTGCCTATAAATCTCCTGGACAACACACCACCCCGGGCTCTCTTGTCCCCTCCTGGCACAAGCCAGGAGCTCTGTCCTCTCACTGTACCTTTCAATAAAAGCCTCCCCTTGGCTCGTCTACCTTTGGTGTTTGCTAAGTTCATTCTTAGACTCCGCAAACAAGAACCCCGGCATCACTGCCATCCACCACTACTCTTGATTTAATGGATTCCTTCCTTCCTTACATTTGTCTGACCTGTTTGAGACTTCTTTCTTGATCAGAGTCAAGAACCCTTTCCCATTCAAGTTGAGGTTTCACCTAGAGGGCAGGGAGAGACCTCCCCAGACGCAGCTGCCTGACAACACCCACAGCCAAGACATTATTAGGGTATCCAATCCTCTTCGCAGCTCTCGGAATTAGGTGGTATTCTCATTTTACAGATTCAAAACCAAGGCTCAGAGGGAAAAAGATACTTGTTTAACCATGTGTTTCCTAAGATGTTTGCTTTAGGTCCAAAGGGTCAGAGAGAACTTTCTCATCACAGGAAAAGACCACAGAGAGGGAACGTTGCCAGAAGACAGGTGAAAGCAGTAAGCCAGGGAAAATGAGCTTGCAGGGTCATAAAGGAAGTCTTAAAACTTTGATAGCAGCAGTGACAGAGACTGAGCAGCCATTTCTGTTGCTTTTGAGCCGGAGATGTGCAGGGAGGAAGCCCCATGCTGAGGAGATGTCCTGGACCCGGCTGTCCATCATCACGTGCCGTGGAGAGCGGCCCTGACCCGCTCGGTTTCTGAGACCATGTTAAGGGATAGAAGCCAACACCCTCAGGCCAGCCCCTTTGCTCTACTCACTGTTCACAATGTGGCCTACTCACAGCCACCTGTCTCTTCTGTAAGCGGCCCCCTAGAGTCACCCCAGGGGTCTCACTTGGGAGAGTCACCCAGCTTCCCATTTGTGGGGATCAGCGCTGGGGTCTTCATGGCTCTTGGCTTCCACAGACTTCGTTGAGCATCAGTGATGTGGCACGACACCGGGAACATCAAAACCAGAAAGACCCTGTCCCTGCCTTTGAGGAACTCGAAACCACTTCTGGGGGGACAACAGAACATCTGGCTCCGGCCAAATGACATTGCTCTTAGGGACCAGAGGTAAAGAGCCCTCTGGCCTTCTATTAGTAGGCTTCCATAAGCACAAAAATCTTTGCTGCTTGGCTGCAGGAGGAAGAAAGTTTGGGGGAGTTTCGGAAGGTGTAGGGTGGGCTCTAAGGACAATGCAAAGGAGAGACGTCACGGCATGAGGAGGAAGGAAGGCGTGTGGTCATCTGCGTCTCTCCACCGCTGCCCCTCCCCAGCCCACGTGGACTGCCTCAAGGTGCAAAGGCCAGAGCAACTAGTGGCGACACATGAAGCAGCAGTTCACAAAGACTATGGATTTGGCCCAGTAGTGCTGCTTAGGGACTCCCCAGCCCCATACTGACGGCCTAGAGGGCTCAGGGTAGCCCCAGTGAGGAGCTTCTGTGCCCAGCAGAGCAGCATCCCTGGGGGAGAGTGACAATGTGCAGTGACTACTGTCCCCTTTGAGGTCTTGTGAGCCATTGATTCTCAACCTGAAAGAAAATGTCTGCCTTCGGGGTTTCCCTGAAATTGGTAGGGTGCCTATGGGGGATGGCAAGCTCCCATAGGCTGTGGTAGATGGAGATTGCTGTTAATGGGGCTGGACTTTTGCTCACCGTCAAGGAAGCCTGGGCACTCAGGTGGGGTGTCATGCACCTTGTCTTGTAATGAGGACAGCTCTCCATTTGCCAGGCACAGAGCAAAGACCCTGACAAGCAGCATCTCACACATCCCGGTGGCAGCCCCACAAGGCAGTGCTTCAATATTGCTTCCGTTTTACAGAAAAGGATGCTGAGGTTTCACATGCCCATACCTCCCAGTTGGCAGCGCTGGTACTAGGAAAGGAGGCCAGGCCCCCTGACACCTGGTGCTGGTCCACGCACCTCAGCATGCAGCTCAGGAAGCTCTTCCGGAAAAGTCTAACCAAGCACAGGGCTGGGTTCTGAGTGCTTGACTTTATTCCAAGAGTTTTGTTGAAGTTTAAAAAATTCTCCTTTTTGAAATACCCTTATGGTTTCTTAAATAACAGATTTATTGAGATGTAATTCACATGCCATACAATTCACCCACTGAAAATATACTATTCAATGGCTTTCAGTATATTCAGAGTTGTGCAACTACCACTGCAATCAACTCTGGACTGTTTTCCTAACCCCCAAAAGAAATCCCACACCTGTCAGCAATCACTCCCTATTTCCCCAGCCCCCCCCACCCCAGTCCTGGGTGACCACTCAGGACATACTTTCTGTTTCTGCAGCTTTGCCTATTTGGGACCTTTCATGTAAATAGAATCATACAATACTTGGTTGGCCTTCTGTGTCTGGCATTTTTTACTTAGCTTGATGTTAAGCTATGTAGCAGGTCTCATCTATGTAGCATGCGTTAGTACCTCAATCACTTTTATTGCCAAGTAAGGGTCCATTGTATGGAATGGACCACATTTTATTTATCAGTTCATCAGTTGATGGACATTTGGGTTGTTTCTACTTTTTGAACAACCTGGTGTTGTTTTGAACAATGTACAATGCTGCTATGAACATGTGTGTATATATACATACACTTACACATATAACATATATACACATATACAGACATAAACTATCTCTTCACTGCAAGTAATGCAAGTACAGCCAAAATGTACAAAGAAAAAAAAAAAAGAGTCCTCCAAAGGCCCTCCCCTAGAGATAATAGCTGCCACCATTTGTCAAACATCCTGCCAGGTGTCATGCCATTTCCAGATTCCCAGAATGATCTAAGCCTTTTCCTTGACTTCACCCATCTTCCTCCCTCCTCACAGACCATGGGTCATGCAAGAGGCTGACCGCATCCCCCTGACAGGCCTTCCGTGGAAAGGCACTGAGACCTTTTTGGGCCTGCAGTCTCCACACCCGCATGTGGGGGTATCTCAGAGCTTGGGAAGAAAGTATGAATATATACATATAATCTTATTTTATTAACGAGAAGTGCTTGTGTTTAATGTGCAAATAATTATACCTGAGTTTTACTGATTGGGTGCCTGAGCACAAGTTTGCACACCCCCTTCTGGTCAGGGAAAGGAGGTAGGTCCTGAGCAGCTGGGGCAGTTGAGAGGCCCCTAGTCTGTCTCTGGGAAGTCTGGGTCCAGGAAGCTTGCCGGGCTTGCCTCTCTTTGCTCACACCCAGAATTCACGCCAGCACTGGTCATTCATGTCCGGGAAGGGCCCCGAGCCTGCCCCGGACCACTCGGAGCACCAAGCCAGGAGAGGGAGCCCTGCAGCGCCCGCCGGAGCTCGGAGCCCACCCGGGTCCTCCATCTCACAAGGAGCATCCAGGCCTGGGTCCATCCCCAGTCCACACGCGCTCCGCAGTGCACCTTGGAGGCCCTGCCTTTCCGCCCTCACCCTGGGCGGGGTCTGCCTTTGTTCCAGCAGAGCCCTAGGTCCTTCCCGAGCTGTGGCGCCCCCTGGTGTCCATCCAGGGGTGGCGTGCTTCTCTGACCCTGTGTGACCATACCAACAGGACACCTGCAACCTTGTTTTTTCTGCTCACATCCGAAGCCTCAAGGCCGTCACGGGGCTCTCCAGCAGATGAAACGGAGAGAGAGAGGCCCCTGAGAGATGCCTTGGAGAGGCGGCCAGCCCGAGACGACAGAGCTGTCCATGCTCCAGCTCCGGATCTGCAGTTTCTCGGCCAGAGGCGCGATGCGCAGCAGCTGCGTGCTCCTCTCGGGAGCCCCGTGCAGCGCGGTGCCTGCGCTCAGGCTCAGGAAATGAAGGACGGGCAAACTCCGCGGAGGGAACGCGGCACCGACGCCCCACGCCCCGCCCCCCCCGGGGCTGAGTCACACCCCAGGTCTGCGGGAGGGGCCCGGGCTGCTCGGAGGAGGACAGGCAGCGGCTATAGGAGCCCCCAGACTAAGGTGTGCAGTGGGGCCCGTCTGGGGACGAGGGTGAGGGCCGAAAGCTTAAATATCTAATGGAAATGGGGCAACAAAAGGAAAGCTGAAGGAATTTTGGAGAAAGGGTGTAAGGGTGTTTGGTGGTTTTAACTGTCCAGTTGAGGCTAGTGTCCTCGGATTATGTTAATGGAGACCCGGAAAGGGCAGAGGAGGCAGGGGAAGAAGCAAATGGGCTAAATTCTTTGGCTCTCTCCTAATGGAGCCTGAAGTTATTGTTTGTGATTTTGATTTTGATAATACTATAAATGTGGGTTTAATAATTTTCATGAAAAACTGAATGGAAACATAACAATTAAAAACAGGATATCTCCTTTCCAAATCATTGCAGAAGATAAAAGCAAACATAAGAGTAGCAGGAAAAAAAATTGAATAAAAAGAAACAACAAAAATATCTTAAAAGCACAAAGTCAAAATTCAGATGAGGAAGTTGGCCCAAGCATAAGAAATAATGAAAAATGCAAACAATCTAGTTTCCTTATTAAAAGCAAAATGTCTCAAATTACATATATTTTAATCTAATACATTATAAACACATTTAAATTTAAAAATACACAGAAAGGGAAAGAATCAAAGCTTAGGCAAAGATACCAAGCACAAATAAAAATAAAGCAGGGCTGATAATGTTCCATCAGATAAGGTAGAATTTTCTAGGAAGTACACAGCACACAATGAAGGACTCCTTAAGTGATAACTACATACAGGGGCAGGCACACTCCTGTTCCCTGAAATGTGGGTTTCCTCCATTTCTGGGTTCTAGGGAGGACCCTCAAAATAAGGCATGGCCGTATGACTTGTTTTGGCCAATTAAATGCAAGTATAAGACTCAAGCACCACCTCTGAGTAGAAGGCCTTGATAGCTTGACCTCCCTGTATGCTCACTTTGTGCTGCATCGACAGAGGGAGGGAACATTCTTAGATTTGGAAGTGAGCCATTGTTTGGTGAGGGCTGCTAGACCCACAGCAGACTTTGCACAAGCAAGATATATAATAAATATTTAAGACCCCTGAAATTTGGGGGTTATTTGTTACCACAGTATAACATATCCTGATACATATATTAATAGTGAACCTTTATGTACTGAATAAATAACAACTATATAACAATTAAAATGTAAGGTTAAGTAGAAAAAAACTTAATGCATTTTTCCCACATTGTTAGTCTTCAGTGAATCAAATGGAGGGTCAGAAGATTTGGACATGGTAATATGAAGAGTAAAATGGATTAAATGTTTATAGAATTTCAAACAGTGTAAATAGATATTCATCTTATTTTCAAATTCATGTGACATTTAAAAAATTGATCAAAACATAAAAATAATTTAACAAAGCAGAAAATGTACAAGCAGTGAACCCCACCTCAATAAAACTAAAATTAATTATATAAATTGAGCAAAAATTAAATCCCACTTGGAATTGTTAGAAAAAAAAATTAAGTCGACAGATTGTTTATAGGCTGAGAAAAGTGAGAACACCATGTAACAAAACTTTGGGATATGAATAGAGCCATACTCAGATATAAGTGTTCGATTATCAATTTAGAAAGGTACAGAAAAGTGTTAAGGAAACCAACATAAAATTAAGTACAAAATATACAAGCACAAATAAACAGATTACAAAATAGCAAAATAATGGAATGAATTAAGAGCTTGTATCTTGGTATTGTGAAAAGGAAAGAACATTAATGAAAGGATGAACTTTTGCCTCTCACAAATCTGAATGTGATTTTTAGCCGAACAGTTTCTGGTTCCAAAGCTGTTTTTGTGAAGAGGGCCATTGGAAGGTGTAGATGAGGGCCCAAACTCACGCCACTCTAAAGTGAAATAGAAAATGTAATGCCAGATCAGAAAGAACTTGAACTAATGAGGTGCCAGGGAGAGAAACATCTCCCTCAGCCTCAGCCTATGGCCCATGGGCCCAATGCCTCAATGAGGAATGAACAAAACTGTCCATCTTCCCAATCTTGTCTCCATGCAGAGTCCCAGGCTCTGGGCCAACAGGAGCTGCTCAGCTGCTCTGACCTCCTGGTCAATCTCCATATGATGGGCTGGCCATTTTCCTGCCACAGTTGATACTCTGCCACTTGTCCATCATCTTTCTCCAACTAAGTATAGATTGAAAACTCATAAGAATAACTGAGGGAGATGTGACATTCACACACTCCTTCAGGATATACAGAGAACAGACCTCTGAAATATATCTCCAGAAGACTCTAGAAGAAAGTTTTAGAGAATTGTGGTACATTCTATATAGAATGCAGAAGGACATAGTTCTGATGAATGAGGAGAAAGAATGAAAAGGCAGCAGAGATAGAAAGGGAACAAGATGAAACAAAACAAAGAAATGTAAAAGGGGAAAATACCATGGTGACTCCAAGGCCACAAGAGGCAGTTAAAGACAGACTTGGTGCAGTGGAAGATCAAGTCAGGGAAGTGAAAACAAACCCAAATTCTGGAATAGGACAAAGAAGAGACAACAGGGTGGGATGGGGAAGACTGGCCGTGTTAGGGTCAGGCAGGCTGCTTGATGCCCACGTCTGCCCTGGGGGGGGGACTGATGGGGGCTCCCCAGGTACCCTTTCTGTTCCTGTCCCTTGCTTGTGGAAGTGACATCTGTCCAGGGCCTGGGCCAGGATAGGATAGAGAGCATCAGGCAATCTAACACAAGGGAGGGAACACTGTTGACTGGCAGTCCCAGTGAGGTGTAGAGGGAGGGCCAGTGACCCGCTAGACAAGCTCAGAAAGCTATGAATGTGGGGTCACTCCCCAAACCAGAGCTGCTGGGCACGTGGTGCCCACACTTCTGACCCAGCCAATCCTCTGTCTTCCAAAATCAAGACAAGTGATTGCCTCTAGGGAGGTTGTTCTCAGCCCCCACCCCTGCTGCAATCTCAGCCCTGCTAGAGAAGGGTGCCAGGCCCCAGCCTCAAACCAAGGCCCTCCTGTGCAGTTGATTCTGTGTGCCTCCCCTTCTCTGCCTTGCAGGCTGACCCCTGCAGCCACATCACCCAGGCTCCCCTGCTGGTTGGCTCCTGGTGGGGTTAGCCAATTGGAGGTACTAGCAAGAGGCTGGAAGGGAGTCGAGAGAGAAGCTGGGGTATTTCTCCCTCATTCTGCCTGCTTTGGGGATGCACCCTGGACTGTGGCACAGCTCCTGCAGGTGACCTCTCACCCCAGCTCCAAGGGAGGGAGCTTCCTCCCTTCAGCCAGGGAGCAACTGACTGCCCCCTGGGCTCCTTGGCTGTCCCTGCCCACATCTCTGTAAGTAGTCCTTCAGTAAGGCCTCTGCATGTGAACCATCTGCATTAAATTCCATCTGGAGGGACCCTGACTGTTGCCATCCCCACCCACATCATCCCTGAGTTGGGGGGCTCCTCTGTCTGCTCCTGTCACCTGCTCGGGCTAAGCCCTTCCTCAGAGAGCGAGCTCTGACTCGCCAGGTACCGTGGCCTCTCTGTCTCCCCCAGAGGCCCCTGCTTGTGCACAGCCCCACTTTAGACAACCCCTGTGGAGTCATGGCTGCCAGGCAGGATCTCCCGTGGCTTGGGCAGCGGGGGAAGGCAAACCTCTGGAACCAGTGCCTGGCTGCAGACTGGAGGCTCTGCCTCCCTAGTGCCCCTCTGACCTCCACAGTAGGTGCAGAGCTGACACCTCCCTGCCGCTGGAGGGAAGAAAGGCCCTGGGGTTCAGATGGCAACGGGAAGGCAGTGCCCTGGAAACACAGCCACCTGGTGCCGGTTTCCTCTTGAATCACTCCCCCAGGCCTTGGGCCCATGACCTCGAGGCCACACCACTCCCAGTTCCCCTGAGCACCACCCTGCCCACCCAAGGTAACCAGCCCAAAAGGCTCTTTATGTCGCCCCTTTCACCGAACAGTGGGGATGGAAGACGGATGGGGAAGGCTGCACTGGATGTAACACGATTACCTCAGAATTATTTAAGTTTCCTGCTGGTTTCAGGGAAAGAGATTCTAAATATTCATAATTTCACATTCAAGACTCCATGGGGCATAGAAACCATAATCGTAAGTGGCTTCAAGTGAAAAGAAAAACCACAAGCCGTGGCGAAGTGCACCACGCTGTGCAAATACGAACCCGTCCCTTCCTCTCTGAGGGCCTCAGCCTCAGGCCCCTGCTGACTCTGGCTTTTCCAGAGGTAAAAACTACCTGCCTGTGCTTCTGCGAGTGAGGATGCATAAGGTCACTGGACGGATTCTGCAAGATATGCAGAAACCTTCTAAATCTCCCCAAAACAGAAGGGACGTTTTCCAGCATTTCTTTCCTCTAATAACAGAGAAGGTAGGGTAGATTTAGAGGACCCTTAGTTAGCTAAATTCAATTTTAACTTAATTCACGGCATCTGACTTTCCAGCTGTCACGTGCTGTGAGCAGCGCTTTCTGACCTGGCCGAGCTGGGCAGGATCACCTGGGACAAAGTCCCTACGGCCATTTCCATCCCAGGAGACTTGGGTTCAGTAGGTCAGGGGGTGGGTGGGAGGAGGAACCTGTATTTTTAATAAGACCCCCAGGAGATTCTGATACTAATAAATCAGGAATTTATTACACGGCCATTGGATCCATTTAGTGGCAAAAGTTTTGTCTTCACATTCTCCCTCTTCCTCAGACTAATTCCTAAAAAATAAAGTCAATGAGCAAATAAAGACAGTTTTCAAGATGTTCATGGAATGACTTTTTTTGACATCTTTCAACTAGTAAAGACAAAAACATTACAATGATTGACTTCTTTCATTTAGTTACATAAATAAAATTTTTATAAATATCTCTTTATAAACAATATAAATAGCTTTACAACATAAATACATTTATGCATGACATAAATTTACAAACAGCAATGTTTTACAGCTGGTTTTGTCAGTCTCTTAAAAACTGTCCCTTGTCATCGTGTTGGTGTAGGTGTGTGTTTCATGTATATAATATATATATAATATATAACTTTTTATTTTTCATTTTCAAGAAAACCCCAAACAATAAAATCATACCCCCCATCCCAAATAATAATAAAACAGCTGGTGTTGTGTATTCCCAGTACCAGGAAAAAAAAAGAAGAAATGTAAAAGCCACATTGCGTTGGAGGTTCTTCCAGGTGCTGGGAGGCTGATGACCGAGGATGACCTCAGCAAAACGGTGCAAGTTCCCAATCCTGAAACATAGAGGGGACATGGGACACTCAGTGTCGGCCCCTTAGCTGAGAAAGGCCAGCCTACGGGGCAGTTTAGAATCTTCTTCCCTTTGCTGCAGCAGCGTGAAACAACGTCCCTCCACCTTTGCCCTCCAGGCCCTGACACAGGCCTTCCTGGGGTGGGAGAGGCCCTTTCCAGGCCCGGTCTCACCTCCTGCTGTGCCCTTGGCACTCCTGCCCCAGGACAGGTGGAACCAGAGTGTCTGCCAGCCCTCCTCCCCTGCTGTCTAACTGCAGGCCTCGCCCTTGGCATTCAGGGTGACACAGTGAGGGAAGAACGGAAAATACCCTTCTCACTGCAACACAAACCCTCAGGGGCTTGCCTTGCTTTTTGTGTCTGGTGACAGTGGAGGGAGGGGGGAAAGAACATCTGATGAGTCTGCATTCTGGGCTCCGATCCCGACTCTGACATTTAACTTCTTGGATGGCCCTGGATAGCTGTGTCTCGCTTTCGGTACCCCATAAAATGGGATAATAGCCACCTCCCAGGGCTGGCTTTGAGATTCAACAGGGGACCATGCATTCGGCATCGGCAGAGTGTCTGGGTCACAGCTGCCAACTCAGTAAATAGCACTTCCTTCCCCAGGTCTCACACCAGCCCTGGGGGAATGAATGGTCAGGCTGGGCTTGCTGGGCTGAGACTTGTCCGAGCCCTTTCATGAGGGCCATACCCAGTCTCTGCTAATGGTGTGTCGTGCTCTGGGGCCCGAGGAAGACATCCTCTGGGATGTGTGGTGTCCCCCAGAGCATAACACAGGCAGAGGGATCCTGGGCCTCAATGACCTGGTGAACTGACCCCGAACTCCCTTTTCTGGCCGTCCCATGTGTTTAAACAGATGACAGATGTCTGCAATGTCCCTGAAACCCACGGGCAAGGTGCTCATTCAGGCTTCAGCCACACCCCATCTCTGTTATTAGCATTTTATAATCAAGACTATAACCATCAGCAACAGTCATTATGGTGGCTGCTTAGAGCCAAAGTCAACCTCTGAGGGGAGAAATGGGCACAACCTCAGAAGAGGTTTCATTAATGTGAAGAATCTTAGTTTTCTTTCTCTTTTAAGCTCAGACAGTGAGAGATCCTGGGCATCTCCACTCGGTAGTTTTCTGCAACAGGGAGAATGCTCTGCCTTCCTGTGGGGACTGGGAGTGAGGGTGGGGTTGTGGAAGTCCAGGATGCCGGAGGTGGGTGTCCAGCTAAAATGTAGAACCTCCAGGAGGCTGGCAAACTCCCTAGCCAGAGAGGCCAAGAGGCCTACAGTCTGGATTCTTCCTGCACAGCCCCTCTCACACCTGCTGGACCGTCACCTGGTTTCCCCAGGGAGTCACATTCAAGAGCCAAGGACCCTTGGCGATGTGCATGCCAGGCACTTTCCAGGCCCTTATCTCATCTGCTAACCTATAGAATAATGTGTTTTGATTCTAAAGCTTGAGCTTGGTGCTTAAACCACAAACTGAAAAGTTGAGGCTGTGTCTCCATCTCTTCATTGTTTAGGCAGTAGACAAAAGAGCAAACTAGCCGCTAAAGGCCAGGCCCCAAGTGCCAGAGTCATCAGTCCCTGAGCAGGCGCAAGCTGAGCTCTCAAGACATATGAAGCCCCTGCAGAAATGGGAAGGAGCACACAGCCTGCAGCCGAAGGAAGGATGCTGGCTAACACCAGTGCAGGTGGGAGCAGGGTACCCCTGAGTGGGGCAGGTTTCTCTGGTCCTTGACATTTTTAAGAGTCCTTTTGGGGGTGCTGTGGGTCCCAGATCACCTCAGGGCAGCATCTGGCCCTTAAGTTGCTGATGAGTTAATTTGGGGAGGTGAATAGGTTCACAAGCAACTATAGCTCAGTTGAAAAGGTGTTCTATGCTATATGAAAGGCTTAGGCAATGTGCTGGAGAATTTCAAAGAGGGGAAGATAGTGTGGACGTTGATACGGCTTCTTGGATGAGAGAGCAGCTTTCCCATGGCCTGGATTGGGACAGACGTTGTGGGACAGGGCATGGCAGTAGCCAGGCTGCAAGAAAAGGCTGGAAACGAGCGGGGGTCAGATCCTAAAGCATATGAATGTCATTACCAGAGGCTGGGACTGTTTTTCTGTGGGTACTGATGGGCAGCAGGAATAGGGAGCAGGGATAGGGGGGGATATTTGCACAGTACATTACCAGCACGTGGCCCCTGGCAGGGGCTGAAGGTAGCACAGGGGTCTCCAGCCTTGGTGCAGTGAGGAGGCCATGCCAGAAACAAGAGCACAGGCGTGATGGGGGTGGGAAGGTTGGTGAGGAGCTCAGTTTAGGACATGCTGATTTCCAGGTTGGGGCAAAAAATAAGATTTAGTTTACTTTCTTTTCTCCTGCCCTGAAATAGCACCACAAACACGGTGGTTGATCCTGAAGTCCCAAGGACGTCAGCAGCATCAGGACCCTGGACAGACCAGTTTGCCCACAGCCTCCGTGTAGAGGGTCAAGAATCAGAACGCTCTGGGGCGGAAGAGCTCCCTGGTGATGGCAGCTCTCTCCACCGCGCGAGGCCAGTTTTTCTCCAGGTCTGTCCCACTCCAGGGACAAGAGACCCAGGAAGTGGTCCTGACCTCTGGGCCACTGAGGACACCTGGTACTGCCTACTGCTCCGGCCCCGAGCCACAATGTCTGGCAGATAAACTTACCCTCCACTTGTGTGTATGCCCTTCCTCCTCTGTTCCCACAAATCCACGACCTCCCCTCAATACCCCCAGTTGGCGAGTTGGGGCCAGTGGTGCTGGTTTGCTTAAGGTCTTGGGGTTGGCAGGACCCCACCAAGCTGTCTCTGCTTCTCCAGAGGAAGCCAGGTGAGTTCGTCCATTGAGCCCTTTCTGACCTTGCCCAAGTTCCCTGACTACTTTCTCCCTCACTTTCTCCACCTGTAAAATGGGATGATAAGTGGGGTTGGGGCAAAGGCCTAGCACTCACACTTGATCTCGTGCCAGAATCGCCTGACTCCCTTCCAAAGGCAGGCTGGCAGGCGGAACTGTCCCAGGACGAGGGGTCAGGGAGGAACCGGCCTGCCTGCGGGGTTCAGGCTTAGTTCTGGCGGGCGCTGCGAGGGGAGCCGGTGTGCAGGGGCGCCCGGCAGCCAAGGTTGGAGGTACTCACCGCCGCCAGGGGGCGCCGCACTAACATCCCAGGCCGCTCATGGAGCCAATCCGGTCCAGCTTGAGGCCGAAGCAGCCCTTGGACAAGCCCTTCTTGTTGCCTCCTTTGTATTTGCGCGCGTTGGGGTGCTCGTGCAGAAGGCGGGCCCATGCCGCCCGCGACTTGGTGTCCACGCGCAGGTCCCGGAGCAGTCGCGACCCGTCGCCCTTGCGATTGGCTCCGCCACCCCCGGGAGTAGTCTTGTCGCCCTTCTTCTGACCGCCGCCCGCGGCTTGGGGCTCGGCCAGCTCTTCCCCGGGCGGAGTTCGCTGGACCTGTCCGAGGAAATGAGCCTGCAGGTGAAGGGATGCACGGCGGCAGCGCGGGGTACCTTGCCGGGACCCTGATGTTCCCGTCCGACCAGCCCACCAGCTCGGTCTGTCCCTTTGGACCTCTGAGCGCTCCCCGCAGAGATGCGGGACAGCTCGACCCTGCATCCACCTGCCGCGGGGCCGCCGTTCCCCGCTTCTTCCGAGAACCCTTTGCCCTTCCCTCCTTTGCCCATTGCCCGACTGGCTACACTGGGGCGGGGGCTGCGCATATGCTGACGTTCTTTTGAGACTGGGGACTTAGATCCCCGGGTCCGAGCATCGAGGGCTCCCAGGCCCTCACCACGCACATCTCGGAGACTAGGGCTGCCTTCCCGCCCTCTCTGCTCCCTCTTGCGCGCTGCATCCTCCTAGGCCCTCAGCCCTCCCAAGGCCCCTTACAGTCCCGACGTCCCCGCGACAGCACCGACCTTCGGTGGCGCCCCGGGCTTGGCTTCGGAGGCCCGGAGCGAAAGTAGCGTGAGCAGCAGGACGCAGGCCAGCAGCTGGGAGAGGTGCATGGTGCCGGTGGGGTCCAGGGGCGCAGACCGGCGGCAGCAAGAGCGCGCGGGGCCGGCGGGTAGACGGGCAAGCGGACGCGGAGCAGACTGCTCGGGCTGCGGTGCGGGAGCGAGTCCCAGTGCTGCACAGCGCCGGCTGGGTGCGCTCTGAGCCCGCAGCTCCGCTCAAGCCTTTATAATACAACCTGCCGCTGATGTCATCCTCCCGCCCACCCGGCCGCCCGGGCCAATGGCACACGCGCCGAGGGCCGGGTGGGGGCCGCGGGGGCTCTCCCTCTGCCTCCACCCTCTTCCCAACCCCCGGGAGATCCCGCGGCTCGGCGGGCTCTTTCCCGGGGCACTCGGAGCTGCAAAGCAGCGCGCACAAGGGAACTCTATTTGCAGTGAGCGCACTCCCTGGCATGCCAAAGCGTCGGTACTCCTGATGCGCTGCGTACACGCTTGGACCTCAACACATGCAGTCTCACTGGAAGGGATCAGTTTCCCTCTTTGCAGGTGTAAAGACAGGCTCAGAAGAATTAAGTCACTTGCACAAAGACACACAGTCAGAAAGTTGGCACAGCCTGAAATCCACGCAGCACTGTCTTGCTGCCAAACTCTTCCCTAGGCACCAGACAGGCGCGGGCCTGGAGCTGCGGTTCTATCTTTCAACTGCTCGCGGGGGAGGGAGTTCAAACATTACAGACTCCTTAAGGTTGAGTAGGCAGAGGATTCAGGCGAAGGTCAGGGAGGTAGATGTAGGGAGAGCGGGGTTTGCCCCGGCCGCAGAGAGGAGCGCCAGTCCTACACAGGAGAATGCAAACTTTTCACCTGCGCAGGTGTGCTTGAGGGCGAACGCTAATGGGTGGGCTAGGAGGGCAGGCCCAATACGGGTGCCATGCACTTGTGCGGTAGCACCGTGTGCTCTACTGCCTCCGAGTGCGCGATCAGCCCGGGTCAGCAGCTCCGAAAGGCCCCGGGTCTGACCCGCAGATGGCTTCCGTCCGCACCAACGGCTGTGTGACTGACCTTGTCTGCACCCACGCCAGGATCCTCAGCGTGGGGCTGTCCGCCCCATTCTGTGTCCTGTGCACCTGCACAGGCTGCGGAGCTCCGAGCCCAGTCTCGCTTCCGTGAGCTGTATCTTGGAGTTTTGGGCTTTAGAGAGGTCCTCGTCGAAGCTGTCGCGACATGGCCATCTATCCCTGCAGCTCACGGCTCCCTCTCCTTGGGCAAGGCGTCTCGGCCGGAATGGGCTGCCAGAGAGGGAGTCCGACATCCTGATAACTGAGTGAGGTGCAGAAATTTATGACTGTTGCCGCCTGGCAAGCAGGACTCAGCGGGAGAGATGAGAACAGGGGCGCGGGGGGCACTCTCCAGGCCACTCAGAGACGCCACTCAGAGACGCGGAGGGATGCAGGCACCTGGATGAACCTTTTCAGGGAGCAGAAGTTGGCTCTCTGAGGTGGGAGGGAGTAGACTGGAGTCAAGAGGGGCCAGGAGAATTCGGTGTCATGCGGTGGCTTCCTTAGCACACCCTGGGCCCACGCTGGAAGGAAGACAGATGGACCACATGGTCAGCTCTCAGTTCTCTCCTTCCCATTCCCTCATTCTGAGTAAGAACGTGTGGTCCAAGCATGCTGTAGGTCCCTTTATTTAGGAAACAACCTACACCTCCAGCTTGAGTTTGGTGTAGCAGAATCTGCTGATCTGAAAGAAGATTCAGACATCAACAGGGCATCGTTGGTGAGTTCTGGTGAGGTGACTCACCACCTCCAGGCTGTCCTCCTGATTGCCTCTTCATGATAACATCTCATAGAGTGCCATTATTTTCATTTGAGGAGAAAGGAAGAGAGAGGAATCTCCAGGTGGGCGATGAAAGTCCCCTCTTCTCTTTGCCTACTGGACAAAGAGTAGTGTTACCAATCTGGAACTTTATACCAGTTTAAGGAGCAGGACTGATTGACTCTAGACCCTGGCACTGGGCTGGTTTCCAGGGACGACAACTACATCATCTCAAGCCCCTTATTAAGGACAGGTTGGAAGCTTCTGATGTTCCATGGTCACCTCCTTCTGTCCGAATGTCTGTAGGCTGGTTCTTTCTGTCTTCTGTGTCCTTTGGATGTACTTGGTGATAGCCGGGTAACTATCTAGGCCTCCCCTCTCTTTGTGCTTTGAGACTAAATTAAATAATCTGACCTCAGCCCACCCCAGTGTGGGCAGAGCCAACACCTTGGACTCTACTTCCCCTCTCTGGAAGAGGAATCTGCTTGTAAGCTCCCACTTCTGACCTCTGGGCTGTGGTCATTTGGAGCAGACCAGATCTGGGAGCGTTAACGGCAGACTAGGGCAGGCTGTGGTGCAGCAGCTAGGCTGCTGGGGCCCGGGAATGGGGTGTGTAGAAGTTAGAAGAATGGGTTGGCAGGATGTTCAGGAAAGGAGGTAGTTAGCATATTGAGGCAGGGCAGGGACATGGGACAAGCATTCATGATTTTTAATGCCTATGATGAAAAATGCCAAGATATAAATAGTATAGTAAGAACAGAAGGGACTCCATCTTAAGCCTAAGGTTCCATTTTAAAAATCAGGGAGTTGGGAGGTAAGATTCCTAACATATTTTATGGTAATTAGCCAACAACTGACCCTATCTTAAGGCAGGGCAAGCATTAAGTCCTAAAAGGTATGTTTCCTCTGCT